TTTTATTCTTACAATTCAGAAAAAATAAATGTATACCGTAATTAGTTTACTTCTTTTAGTTAAAATGATGAAGATTTTTTTTAATAGAGACAAAAGCATTAAGTTGCAACAATCGTCTTGTTCAACTACCTTTTTCATAATTAAATCCGGTATATTTATTATTTATCTAACAAACACAACTTATTTTAAGGGATTATTCGAATTTTGAAAGAATATAAAGATTTGAATAAAATACTAACTTCCCTCAAAAAAAAGATTAATATAGTTATTTATTAAATGTAAAATTCTATCCATAATTATGAAGACAATATATGAGTAGAAAAATTAATACGGTGGAAAAGGGGATGGGGGGCATTGAAGGGGAAGCAAAATGAATAATGAATAGCAATTTTTCTGGGGCTCAATTTTCTTTTTCTTTTACTATATAAAATTTATATTTATTTATTTAAAAATAAAAACTAATAATAAAGATAAAACCTTTTTTTTCTGGCTCAGACATTTGAAAATTTTTAAATCCTGGCAACGTGAATATGTAAATAATAGATATATAGGATTCTCGCTGTGCATAGTGGTTTTTAGTTCTTACCCTCAATCAATAGATACTTAAACATGCTATAAAAGACCATACTAGTAAAAGATTTGTTTGTGTTTTTTTAATTTTCTGAACTATGAAAAGATAAAAAGAGGGATAAGTCTCAAACAACATCCAAACTCAAAAATACAAGATCTCGATTTTCAGTGTCAAAAAACACAAAGGGAAATATTAAATGGAGGCAGCAGTCAATTCATCCAAATGCCAACTAGGTACGAACCGGAGCGGGACCCGCTCCGCCACCCGGGCGTGGTGCTTGACCTGGTTTCGGTCCATCGTCCTAAAATATATAATGATTTAATCACTAACAACAAAATTATATTTATGCAATCAAAAAAATAAATATATAAGGGTTTAAATCAATAAAACAATAGAAAAAAGAAATGATTTTCTTGTTTTTCCTCCTTTTTCTAGACATAAAAAGCAAAAATAGCCAGTTTCCTACAAGATTTTTCACAAAATAATTTTTTTATTTTACTTTTTTCACAAATAACCATCAATTTCCCGATCATTGTTTTGCTATAAATTTTACTTTACTTTGAGTATGACGAAATTTAATTTTGTATGATTTCCACCTAATTAAAAACTAAAGATTTTATATTAAATGCAGAACTGTTCATAATAAAAAAAAATTATACTTTTGTTGCACGAATTTTATAAATTAAAAAAAAAAAAAAACAAAAAACATTTATGCAACAAAAGGAAAGTTTCATACTGCGATACTGCGAAAATAAGAGAGATTTTCGACGATAGAACAAATTGGTGTAAAAATGAAAAAAAAAATGTATTTTCTTATAAATAGGGAGGACAAAAAAGACAGAATTACCCTTGGTCGGGAGAATCTCTTTGGAGGCTCGCGGTTTCTTCTATCAACTCGTGAGCGGACTCTAACAACTTTAGAGTGAATTGCACAAGAAACACAGTATTGCATCTTCACGTACAGCTTGGGAAGTGTATACTCTAGAAAATTAATTTTCTTTATAAATGTTAATCATTAAATTTAAAAAAAAAAAATAATAACTAAAATAAAACAATCGAGACTTACGCTCAAAAGCACATGCTTCTTGAACATCCCTAACAGCAGCTTGCTCCACTATGTTCCTTACAAGAAATCTCTTAATAGCTTTGTCCTAATAAACCACAAAAATTATTCACTTGTTTATAATAACAAAAAGGAAAAATAAACAAGAGCAAATATACATAATAATGTGATAGTCAAAAAGAAGAATCCACATATATTGTTTATTAGAAGATTATTAATAAACAGGAAAATCAATTTCCATTGTTAGCTTGGAAATTTATATAAACATATAGAGAATCCATCAAGCAAATAATAACTCATCTAACAAAACCTATTTAATCTGTTAAACTAAATCGATGGGTACAATCAAACATGTTAAAAATCTCAATCAACCAATCTAATATGATTTATCACCAGAATACGAGATGTATGAATAATATTCGAATTCGAATTGAGAATTAAAAAGAGCAGATGATGAAGTACCTTAGGGCAACATTTTCCGCAGTTAGAACAACGAATGAACTTGACGTGTCCACGTCCGTGTTTGTTGCGTCCGCCATTTCTTCTCTTGAAAGTCTGCAAGAAGAAAGAAAGATCAGATTGAGGGAGGAGATGGATTCATGAGATGATTATCTAACTAACCATCGTTCAGAGATCCTGTGTGGTTTTTCGTGGAGGGGAAACCCGCTTCTGCTGTGCCGCAATCTTCAGTGTAGGGTTTGTGGAGATGGGAGTGTTTTGTTATTTAGAGCTTTACTGTATGGGCCATCCTACTTGGACTTTGGACTTGGGGTTCAGTTTATTCGGACTTTATATAAGGCCCATAAAAATTAGGTATATTAAAAAGAAAAAGATGAATCATATTAATTTCAATAAAAAATAAAAAATAGAAAAAAATGAGAAATGAAATTTTTTTTATAGATACTTAGGTGTGAGAGTTTATTAAAAATAAAAAGTTTAATATCAATATGTAAACATTAAACATTTTACATAGTAATTGAAAAAAGAAAGTAAATCAATGAGTTTTTAACATTTATATGAATTTATTCTCAAATTAATAAAATGATAATCTTACATGAATAAAATGAGAAATATATATATATATATATATATATATATATATATATATATATATATATATATATATATATATATAACCGTAAATTATGAAAATTTAATGTAAGAATGAAAAACCTCAAAAAGATAAGTGGAAAATAAAAAAAAATAAATAAATAAAAACAAAAGAAATCATGTTGCAAAATGAAGGAGGAAAAAAAAAAAAAAAAAAAAAAATTTCATTTATTAAAGATGATTTAGATTAAACTTAGACCTTCTTCATCTTTATTAGTAAAATGACCTAACCTAACTTATTATATATATTTAGATAGTCATAAATTTCATAAATGAAAAATGAAAATTTATTTAACGGGTTGGTAAATCATTAAATACCGAGAAATAGCTTAGTGGGATGCGCCGCTATAAATTATGTTCCGAGTGGTTTTTATATATAGGTTCTTTTATATTAGAAACTGAACCGGAATCCAAAAAAAACTGAAATAATCGCATAAACCGTAACCGAATAACCGAAACTGAAACAAAAACCGACGGTACGGTTTTTGATTTTCGAAAACCGAAAAATTACGGTGCGGTTCGATTTTATGTTGAATAACCGCACCAAATTAATCGAAATAACCGTATAACTTAATATATTATTTAATTAGTTATAATGATTATATTTAATTAATAAAAATAAATTAGTTGTGAAATTGAAGGAATGCGCAACCAACTTTCATTTGACGAAGCGGGACTCCAATAAAATTGAATCAGCTCTCACTCATTTGTCTTTTCCTTTTTCCCAAGCCGCCCAAGCCTCCTTCGACGATGCAACCTGCATCCTGAATCCTCATCGACAACCATATGATTCGAAAACCTAAAGTGATCATATATTTGGCAAAGGTACGTCTTCCTACAAGGTTACAACGATCAAAATCACTCTACAAAAGAAATCAACTTCTTGACTGACTTGTTGATTACTTGAAAACAAAACTCTGGTGATTTGAAGGGTTGCTCACTTCGACAACACTAAACTCCAACCACATATGACTTTAGGTAAACATACTACAAGCAACTATGATGACCACTTTTGTCTTCTGTTATTTTGTGCCTCTGTAGTCTGTCAGTATTCTTGAACTCGGAAATTAGGTAGGGATAATTTTTTCTAGTTGGTAGTGTTGACTCGTTTGTTGAATATTTTGAGAAAAAGTTTGAAACGATCGTGATAATCTGGAAATCTAAAATTGAGTTTGGTGTTGTTTGTGTTTGTCTGAAATCACATGCTTATGTTCCATTTCCCTCATTCTTTTTGTTTTTACAATGTTTTTGCAGATGATGAGATCTGAGTATTGAGTATTGATTTTAACCTATAACCTTTCTGATTCTTTATATAATCTATGATTCTATAAATAATTTATGATGTTGATTTTTATATGAGATTTCATATTAGTATTGTTAACAGGAAAAAATAAATGTCAACTAAAATTTTAGTTTTGAAAATGAAAAACCATACATTTTTAACTACAAAACCGTACTAACTCATTTTGTGGTTAGAAACAGAAACCACACCGAAATAATTTCAAATTTGCAAAAATAACCACAAAACCACAATTTTCGGGTTTTGAGTTTAAAAAACCGCAATTTGCGGTTGCGGTTGCGGTTTGCTACAAAAACCGCACCGAACCCCACCATGCTCATCCCTATGTTTTTTCACTTTTACATCATTTTTAAGTAAATTTATTACCAAAATTTCCATTTTTACATTATTTAAAAATTTTATTTTTCTATCTTTTCTTTTGAAGATTCCTACCATAAAAACATGAAAATATCATTTTTGCACATAGAAGTTTTATGAATTTGTCTAATTGACCCTTGAAGTATTTTTCTTGTTTTATGGGTGCATAAAGATTGTTGTTGCTTGCTTATTTGGTTCCCTATCTATTATATCTAATATGAGTGAAACTGAGCTTAAACTATCTTACGTGGATGTTGATTTGGACATTGACGTGGCTACCAACTAGGATGTCATTATTTCCAACTTGGCGAGCAAGGATTGCATAGTGCCGAATTACCGATGGTCAAAACCTTGTTACGATTTAACGGGAAAGATTATCAATGATTTCTTTAAAAATTTCCCCTACTAAAATCATTACAATGGCATCTGAAGCTACTAGTTTCCTATACAACGACCACGAAAACAAAACTCGTTGTGCCTTAAGCCCCTTCACTAATCTTGGCATAACATGTCTTGAAATACATATTGATACGTCCTAGTTGTAGGATCAAGTTAAGAATGATGATTCTCATTTTGAGAACAAGATTACAAATCTGAAAATGGAAATGTGTCAGATGAAAGACGACTATGCAGTTGAAATCAGGTTTCTTTGTTTGTATTAAGGTTGCAGAACTTGCTACTCGATATTTGTTCGTCCTACGGGTACTTGGATTACTCAAGCAGTACTCGGATACGGTAAATCATGTAAAAATATTTTTAAGGGAATAATACATGTCAAAAACCATAATTTAGAAATCATTAGTTGATTGATATTCATTACAAAATTAGTTGAAGTATCAACAAATAATGCATTTTCAAATGTTAAAATTGTTTCAAAAATGTTTAATTGGATCAAATAAGTAACGCTTTGGCGACTTAACTTTCTCGTGTTGACTTCCTCTCCGGTTAATTTTCATTGGGGGGCGGGGGGGGTTCTATGGTGGTTTTTATATCTACGTTCGCCTCGTACTTTCATTCTTGGTTGTTGGAGTTGTTTCTAATTGCAGGTTTCTCGACTTTATGAACATGTTATTGATCAATTTTCTTCTGATCGCCTTCTGTTTTGTTCTTTGTTCAATGGGTAGTAGATTAAAAGGAGATAGAGGTATTGGATCTTCTTTTAACAACAAAGATTTATGGAATGTAGATAGGTTATCAGTGCCTTTCTATTTTATCAATTTTCCTGATGATATTGATTCAAAGAAGTTGTGGGATATCTATGACAAGTATGGTGTGGTATCAAATATGTACATGGCTCGGAGATTGTCAAAAGTTAGTAAGAGATTTGCTTTTGTTCGGTTTATTAAAGTAGTGGATGAAAAGGCTCTTGAATCTAAATTACGTGAAATTTAGATTGGTAATCATCATCTGTTTGTTCCCATTGCTCGGTTTGAGAGGGATAATGTTACTACTTCTAAACATAGGTTGCATCATTCAATATGTAGAGATAAGGGTAATGTGAACGGAGTAGGTTCTGGTTCGTATGCGAATGTTTTTAATTCTAGGATTGTTCCTGATCGGTCAAAGACATTAAAATCCATTGTTTTACATGGATCAGACATTAATAATCCACTTTCTCTAAGACCTTCGGTGTTTGGCAAAGTCTGTAATATTAATATTATCCTAAAACTGGTGGCATTACTTAGGGAGGAAGGATTTCATGACATCCAAAATTCAGTATGTGGGTGGAGATTAGGTTTATGTGTCATTTGATTTGGAAAAGGATTGTTCTGGATTTAAAAATTCTAAATTGATTCATTCATATTTCTCAATTTTCATACTTGTTAATGGCTTTCTTGTTAAAGAAAGATATGTCTGGATTGAGATTTTGGGACTTCCTTGTTGTACATGGAATGATGGTGTTGTTTCAAAGGTCGCGGAGATGTCGGGGAGGTTTGTTTTTTAAAAGAGGATAGTGAAGCACCATTGGTTGTGAATAGTCAACGGTCAAAAACTAATGGTCAACTTCATTCGGATTACGCCATGTGTACATGATGCTCTACACCATGCATAGAGTACAAAGTGGATTTTACAGGACAAAACAAGGCTACATGTTGCGTAGCCATATTTAAGCCATGTGTACTACGTTGTTGTGCACTTTTCTCATTAAGTTCTTAATATAGAAAGTTAAATCACCACACTTCCAACTCTAAGCTAGATGGACGTCTTAATGGATAAAATCTTTGACTTTATCCACTTGCATGCATAAAAGGAGCATAAAATCATAACTTAAGTCCAAAAAGTCAGTCAATGCTAATGAACACTTGCATATATAGATGAGAGTCACCAAGTCTCATTTTTATGACTTATCAACCCTAAAAAATGCCTGAAATGACACATAAATGGCCAAGAGTAGCTCATACTCATAAGAACCTATGGGGACAAAAGAATGGAATCCTTAAGCATAAACTAGATCTATCATAAACAACTTCAAGATGGAAACTTTATACCCTTTGGGGAATGATTATGAGATGCAAATTCCTAATCCACAAAGTTTGGAGTTTCCCAAGTGTTCCACAGTGAAGTTATTCCATCATAAAAGCATGCAAGAAGACTAGGTTGAACACTCAAAGGTTGCAAAAACTCACACAAGAAGATAAGGTTTTCGAGGTGGCTGCTTAATAGGGTGGAGGTTGATAATGGAAGGCCTTAAAGGAGTTAGGACCTTCAAAAATGACTCAAACCCCCAAGATTAGGGGTTTAGTCTTGAGCAACTACGTGTTGTGTAGCTTCATCTACGCCATGCATAGATCATTAAACCCCCGTATCAAGTTTTCCTCCTACGCGCTACGTAGGAGACTACCCTACGCCCGACATATGATCAAATTCTCCAAATTTTACATTTTAAATTGCAGAAGCAAATTTACCTGCAAGGATCGGTGTTACAGTAAGAAATGTGGAAGCAAATCTCGTGACTCTCGGTCATACAATATCTCTTTTCTTGGTAAAGTGTCTCATCATGACCAAAGTTTTATGATGAGCATAAATACACACATTGAGTGTTTTTACATGGTTGAAAATTTTCTTATACCTAGGGAGCCTACCAATGCCTTTTAAAATAAATAAAAGGTTAATAATATTATTAAAAATTAATAAGAAATAGCACTAAATTATAAACTTAACACAATAAAAATTAGTACCTTCAAGCATAATATTGAGGTTATGTGTTGCACAAGATGCCCAAAAAATAGTTGGTCTTTTTTCCTTTAACATCTTGGTCACTCCTATATTATTTGATGCATTGTTGATCATAATTTAAACCACATTTTTGGAGCCAACTTCTTTAATGCAACTTTCAACGTACTCATGTATGTGTTCACTTGTGTGAGCTCTATCTGATGATTCTTTAGATGAAAAAAATAGTCCCTAACTTTGAATTAACACATAAGTTCATGATGCTCCTTTTCTTTCTATCATGCATCTGTCATAATCGATCATCCATTAGATTTCCATTCGTCTTTGTATGGTGTCAAAAAATTGTTGTTCTTTATACTTCTTTCTTTAAATATGTTTCTCCTAGCTCATATCTAGTTGGAGGTGGAGCCCTACGTCCAAATTGGACAACCGCCTCCAACATAATTTTTAAGTTATCCTTTTCAAAGGCATGAAAAGGAATGGCACATTCATAGGCCCATCTACAAATATATTCTTTCACACGAATCATGTGTTCCTTATGAATAACATTTGAAATATTTTCGTGTTTTCTCTTTCCCCTATTTGAAACATCTCAGGGGTTGATAGTGTTTAGAAACCAATCCATAGTCCCAAAAGAATGTTGAGCCTTCATGGAACCAAATAAATATTCCATCAAATCATCATTGATAGTGTTTAGAAACCAATCCATAGTTTCATTTTCACTACTTCTAATATTCAATTGTGCTCTTAAAGATTCATTTTCATCTACCTTCCCCTTCTTTTTATTTTGGTTATCATGAAAAGCATCTCTACATTTTATTTGGTCTTGTTTTGTGGCCTGTGGGCATGAAGAAACATTTCCCTTATGTTATGCAATATGTTGTTTTAGTCTATTGATTCCTCCACCCATCTCTTTATTACATAAAATGTATTTCACTCACTCCAGTTTGTTAGGATTCACACAGACCGCATATTCCCATATGGGATCATTCAATTTACCTTTAAGACTCTCTTGAGTTGCTTTTGATCCTATAGATGGGGTTTTGTTTTTGATGCCATTACTTCGGTTTTAAAGTTATTTAAAAAAGTGAGTTAGTGAGTCTAAAACACACATATTGTTTTAGAAAACAAAAGAATATCATACTGTCACATGGAGTGATAAAATAGAATAACATATATCTATTAGTCTATTACATAGAAAACCGGAAAAAAATACATACAAACTATGAAACTGATACTGAAAATCTGAATTCAGAAATACATAGCCACTGATATAAACTGCATAACTAATACAAACTGCATAACTAATAAAATTGTCTTTAATACATATTATATAGTATATATAGAAATTGATGCTGAAATACAAACAAAATCAATACAAACTGATACATTAAAATGTTTAACATAAATAAAAATTGATACAAACTAACTGATACAGTAGAGAAATCAAGAAACATATTTTCAAACTGAAACAGACAAAATTTGATATAATTGATTGCTTCATGTGAAATCTTTTCTTATATTTGTAAAGTTGTAAATAATCAGATATGAAACTGATATAATCAATCATACACACTGAATTGACTGAACTACAAAAAAAAAAAAAAAAAAAGAGTAACCTTTGTGAAGTAACCTCAGTTTCCACTCTCCAATAGAGAAATCAAGAAACATATCAGAACTAGATGGCTGGAATAGAGAGGGTGCTACACTAGAACTAGTTGCTTCAGGTGAAATCTTTTCTTATATTTGTAAAGATATAAATACTCAGATCAAATATGAAATAGATACATACATTTAGTTATAAAAACTGAAATACAAAAAAAAGATCAAATACTTATGGGAAGTAACCACAGTCTCTAGTAGGAAAATCCAGAAACATATACACTAAATACATACACACCATACCAGTACAGAAATCATGAAATACATACACACCAACCGAAAATCTTGAGAGAAAAATGAGAAACAAGGACAGAGTGAGAGTAGAGATAGAAAGAAATCACCTTCGTAAATACTCGTATATGAAATACATATAATTATACAAACTAAAATAAAAAAATTTGAGTTCTTGATGAAGAAATATGAAATCGACACAATGAAATAGTGTGAGAGTAGATAGATAGCAATCACCTTTGTCAAGGAACCACAGTCACCGGTGGAGGATCTCGTTGGTGGATAGTCACAACTCAAGAGCACACCATTACTAGTAGAAGACACAGACAAGAGAGAACATCAAGGTCATAGTCTCATAGAAATATAGGGAACTAAATTTGGAAATGTTTCTTCTTTTTTAGGTTTTAGGGTTAAAACTCTTTTTTAAGTCAAAAATAAGTTTGACTGGGTTGGCAATGTTTGCCCACGTTAACCGAGTTTGACTTTATTGATTGAGCAGGCCCGAGTCAGACCGAGTTGGAGCAAGGTTGACCAAGTCTTGATTGATTTTGACTTAATCCAATTTTTTTTTGAGTTGACATAACTCACCTCGGTGGAGGGCCAAGTCTGAATACACGGTTGAGTTTTGTAACCTTGGTTGTAGGTTGCGAGTGAACTATCTTAAATAAATGGTGTCTAATGGGGAAGAAATGGGGACCATGTTCTTTATGAAAAAAAACACACATTTGATTGCATTTATTTAGATCTACATGAATGGTTATTGTGTTTGGGATCCCAATTAACTTTCCTTTCCTTATATTACTAGCTAATATATCTTTATGGTCCACATTATAACGACCCATATTTTATAACATCTAATCTAAGGGATATATCAGTTTGTCTATATTTGCATAATTCTACTCAAATTAAAACACTTTAAATCTCAAGTTAAATCATGGGTTTACAATAAAATCTATCTAATAACTGAACAACAAGGTGAATACAATAATAGCATCCTATTATATAATTATTGGCCTTGTACTCTTGTCTTCTTTTCTGGTACAATGGTTGCTAATACCTAAACCTGCAAAACATAAAAATATTTACTACATCAGACACAATGTGTCTGGTGAGTTATTCTTCTATATTTTCTTATCTTTTCCTTCTCTTTCTCATACTCTATCATCTAACTCTTTCTTTGATAATATACACTACTATTTTTCTCGTTCATCTATCTCTTCTATCTTTTCTCTAATCTTTTCTTCTACTCTTCTCATCTTATATATCTATTTCTCTATCATCTAGTCTTCTCTTAGCCTATTCTTAGACTCTTATCTTCCCCTACTGATACTCTATCTTTGTCTTTAACTCTGTCTCTTTTCTACTTTGTCTCTTCTTTGTTCTATCTCTTCTCTGTTTTGTTTTATTCTTTATTGTATCTCTTTTATGCTCTAACTCTTCTTTAATTCCTCAACATTATGCTCCCATTTAGTCCCAATGATAATATTTCATACCATACTATAATGGAACAACGTCCTACTATCATTATCGGGCATGCACATCCGAATTTACTCCTCTCTCTTATGATACCTCATGTATCTTTAATCTTTCTTCTTCACTTGAATCCCTTACATATTCCTTACTCTTAATCTATCACGGATTATATCTAATTTTTTAAAAGAAATCTCTTGCCTTATTCCGCTCAT